CGTAGATCTATTACCCTGATATCGGCTGCCCATTCCAACTGGAATGCTCCTCTCTCTAGGGAACTTTTACTTCTTTCTCTGGACCTCATAAGGCCTTCGATAGTCTGACGCAGAAATATTTATTTACTACCCTGCAGGCCTTTGGCTTTGGCCTGACGTTTCTTGCTCTGTTACATTCGCTATATGCTAACCCCTTCGGCCCAGGTCTCCATCAAAGGCTACAAATCCTCGGTGTTTCCCTATCCGCAGAGGGATTAACAGGGCTGTCCATTTTCCCCACTGCTTTTTGCACTGGCAATTAAACCCTTTGCTCTGGCAATTCGGTTTCAATCCCAAATCCATGACGTCCGTTGCGGCCAACAGGACCGTAAGTGTGCCCTTTTTGCCGATGACAATCTTATGTATATTACTTTTCCTTTGATAACTTTCCAACTTTACTATCATTATTACGCAAATTCTTTGCTCTTTCCGGGCTCTCCCTTAATTCCCCAAAAAACGACTGCCCTTAATGTTTCCTTACCCATATCTAATGAACAGCAGCTTAGAACTTCCTTCGATTTTCAATGGGCAAATAGATCTTTACCCTTCTTAGGAGTAACCTTACCAATTCCATCGAGACACTTTATCAGGCTAATTACACTCCCCTATTTAAAACACTTAGGGACGATCTCCATCGTTGGGCTGATTATTCCTTGTCCTGGTTTGGTAGAGTCAACTCAATCAAAATTATGTTTCTGCCTTGACTACTCTATTACTTCTGGACCTTGAAAATAGCAATTCCACGACGAGACTTTCAGCTTCTAAAGGATGAGGTTCTTTTGGAATAATAGACAGCCTTGGATGTTATATGCTTCTAGATCGCGGGGTGGTATTGGCCTTCCTAATCTCCACTCATACTTCCAAGCTGCACAGATCGCCCAACTAGCTTATACTACGGTTGGGGGACATACTCCCCATTGGGTTTCTGTAGAAGCTCTTTCCTGTTACCCTTTGGCTATTGTGGCGTTACTCTGGCTTCCTAGTCGATTACTTCCTCCTAGTCGTTCTCCTTGGCAGTTTGGGACAGGGTACGCCATCATTTGCAACCCTTAATTTGTGCCTGCATTAACACCGGCCCCTTTTCAATGGTGGATCAATAAGGGCTTGCTGTGGATAGGGGCTATCTTAACCAATTCAATACCGGGCAATTTTACACCTTCCTGCCCTGGCCAGTTTTCAGGTTTCAGCGCTCTCACACTTTGAATGACAATACAAACATTGTACCCAAACTAAAATTGTATCATTTTCTTCACACAACTAGAGCTTTCTTTTGGTGGTATTTAATCACCACTGGGGTTTTTATTTTTTGCTAAATTAACAAAAAAAGACCAAAAATTTTGAAAAAAAAAAACGTTTTCCTTTGTTTCTGTTATAAACGTTTGCAAATAAATAATTGTTCTTCATAAATTTAGGCCGAGATGTATCCTGCGACATGTCTTTGGTAAAATAACCCAAATTAGGATGTATTATTTAGTTTGTAGGAAAGTTATAGAGTTCACAAACTATGGTATAGATCTGAATATTGATCAATCCTGAAGTACTGACTGACAGCCAATCTAATTTCTTGAGGTCCAAGAATGTCAGAACAGTACAGATATCCCCCAAATGACCCCTTTTTGCAAAATAGACAGGCCAACGTACTTAATAAGAGGCATGGCAAGTTTTTTGAAGTTGTATTTTTTTTTGTCCTAATTTTTCGGAAAATGAAAAAAATTTAAAAAATTATTTTCATTATTTTTTTTTACATATTGTCACCAGTGCAGTACAGCATCATCATATAACTGGCATGGCAGTGATCAGGGACACTGACTGGTGACAGTATGAAAAAAAAAATATATATTTTATTTATTTATTTATTTTTTTATTAAATTTTTTTATTTTTTTTTAAGATTTTATTTTCATATTTCACTATGACCAAAGTAGTACAATGTTACCATAGTAACATTGTACTACTTTGGGGAAGTGATCGGTATTTTTTTTTTTTTTACACAATTTGCTTATAGCAAAGAACTACTTTGCTATAAGCAAGCATTTACCTGAATGACATCGATTCATTCAGGGTTTTTTTTTTTTTTTTTTTTTTTGTGCTTAGCTGTGATTTGGCCACAGCTAATCACATGATATGTGCATGTGATTAGCTGTGACCATTCACAGCTAGACACTAGTATACAATGGATGGCATGAATAAAGCCATCCATTGTATACAACTGTCATGTGACCTGCTGTGATTGGTCACAGCAGGTCACAAGGTACCGGCAACGGGGCCGATACTCAGATCTGTCATCGGCCGTGTCCAAGGTACACGGCCGGTGACAGATCGTGCCGCTGCACCGCTCTGCAGGAGCGCAATCTGCGCATGTGCGGGAGGACGTCATATGGCATCCACCCGGAACGCTGATGACATTTTCTGCCCGCCATTCGGCCATAGGGCGGGCGGCAAATGGTTAATGATGCTTGTTTACATTCTCTGCAATATATTTTAAAGACAAGTTGCATATGCCTTCTACTGAGATATTTAGATAAAAGCAGATTGTCTCATTTATCCGCTCGAAGCTCACTTTATTGGACAAGTCACCTTTGCTCATCACCTTCGAACTCTCCTGCAGGAATAGGGATTCTCCAAAAGGTGGGGTCTCTGCAATATATGCTCTCCTCACTGACCCAAATTGAAAACTCCCTTACATGGAACATTGGGAAAAATATTTAGCTGTTAACTATGAATTATCGGATTGGCAAGATATTGCAGTGGCACTGTCTAAAATATCTATCAATACTACCTTAATTGAAGTTAATTATAAAACTTTGTTGAGATAGTATCTGGTGCCTACCCGAATTGCGAAGATGCATCCGTCTGCCTCTGTGCTGTGTTTATGGCGTTGTGGCCAGGTTGGGTCTATGATTCACATTTGGTGGCAAGGCCTGCTTGTAACTAGATTTTGGATTCGAATGTTCAATTTGGTAAACTCAGTGACGGGTATAAATATTTGCAGATCCCTGGAGACGGCGCTCTTTCACAAATTTCCAGATAATGTTCCAAAGAAATCTAATGAATTGCTTTCCTATATGTTTCTGGCAGCGGGAATTACTGTAGACAGACACTGGAGGCAATAGGTCATTCCACTTGACTATGTTAAAAGGAAACTTAATTGGATCATGATTAGCGACAAACTCACCTATTTCCTACACAATAACTGGAAGAAATTTAATAACACATGGAACCTGTGGATCCAATATCTTTCTGTGCCTTAGTGACCCTCAACTAGACTTTCCTTTCTACTCTTTCCTTTGCTCTTTTTACTCTTTTTGTACTGCTCTGCATTGTATTTCCTATGTTGGCAAGGTGAGATATACTTGATCTTGAATTGGGCACGATTTATGTCTTGTCTTAACTGCCAATTGTTGTGGCAAACTTTGTTGTTTTGATGTTTCTATTTGTATATATGATGGAACATTGTTCATTGATATTGTTTGTTTTTCTTATGTCTTTTTCCTTTGTAAAACTATTCAATAAAAAACATTGAAATATAAATATAAATATGCACTTTGAGACCACTCATCAGTGATAATTTGAAAAGAACAAACCTTTTTTGAAATGATTTTTGAAACACACATAGGGTAAACAGTAGGGTATTATTCCCCTTCCTTCTCTATCAGATATTAATTGGTGTTGGAACCACTGATATTTTGCAGTGGCTGCAATGGAAGAAGAAGAGTTAGATTGTGATTATAGCTGGTCCAGGGGTGGGTCTTAAAGAGATCCTGTAATTTTCTCTAAATGGGTAAAATGACAGGGCGTCTTTAAATCCTGCTGCATACTGTTTAAGAGAATATTCTTGGACTCAGACACAAAGTCAGGAAAGGCGATTTGAGTGGTACAATCACTGTCAATTAATTGGCAATAGTAATTTAAACAATAATCACTCTAAGTGATACTGCTGTTGTGTTAAGGTCAAATAATGGTGATGATCTTGAGCAAGCAATGTGAATATTGTTGTAGGCTCTGGGCAGCACCGTCCAGTACAATGACTGTAGAAGATGATGAAGAATCAGAATAAAAGAATTACAAATTAGCACTCAAGGCTGTAAATTGCACAGCTGATGTGCTTAGTTCTGAGGATGGTGATGATAAATGCAAGCTTGGAGTGTATAGAGAAACAGGCAAATGTGTTCTCCTGAAGTATTTTTATATAACGTTCTGGAGTTGATATTTTGAGCATGCTCAATTTCAAAGTAAATTATCACTTTGCAAAGTGAACTTTCACTTATTTAAGTGCATGCGGTGATACAAAGTGAATTGCAGGGAAACAAACCCATGCATGATTAGATGATTGAAGTTAGCACAGCTTCACCTCATTCATTAACCTAAGTGAATTTTCTTTTTGCAAACATTAATTTTAACGTAGGGTAGTTAATGAGATTAAGTTGAGCTGACTTCACCATCCAATAATGTGCAAACAAACATCCTGTTTTTTAAATGTGCCTTGCAAATAAGTGGGTGTATTTTATAAAGTGAATTTTCACTTCATTTGTCTCATTCCCTGAAATAAATGAAACTTCACTTTGCAAAGGTAAGTCTATTTTGAAGATCAGCATGTTCTACTTCTTCACATTAAGCTGACTTCAACCATCCAATAATGTGTAAACAAAAATCCTGTTTTTAATGTTCCTTGCAAATGATTGGGTATATTTTATAAAGTGAATTTCACTTAATTTATCTCATTCCCTGAGATAAATTAAACTTCACTTTGCAAAGGTAAGTCTGTTTTAAAGGTGAGCATATACTATTTCTTTATTAAATCAGAGTTAGTGTCTGATTTCACTCCTCATAAAAGATTGTGGGGCAGGGCAGGAATTGCACAGGGAAGGCTGGACATGCCACATTGGGATTTATTTACTAAAGGTAAATAGGCTATTCACTTAGCAAAAGTACATTTTCACTTTACAAGTGAAATTCCTATAGCTTAGTGCAGGCCTTGAAATTTCCACTCCCCTGCTCGCCAATGGCGAGTGGAAATTATGGTGGGGGTGAGTGTGTCCCCAGGGCCGTCTTACTGAGCAGGCTCGGAGCCGTCAGACTGCTCAATAGTTGAGCTCAGTGAAAGCAAAAGAAGGAGTGTGTGCTGTGCTCTCTGCCTCCCCCTAGAGTGCAGTACCCGGCTCTGTGAGTGAACAACGAAGTACTGCAACTTTTTATAGGGCTGTGTGTGCGTGTGTATCTGCCTAATTTCAGCTCACTCTGGTCACATGATCCTCTATGTCAGCCAGTGGTTGCTTCAGGGGAGAGGAGAGAGCACTTAACAGCGTGCGTGCGTGTACATTTGTGTGTGCGTTTGTGTGTGTCTGTGTATGCATGTACATGTGTCTGTGTGTATGCACATGTGTGTATCTGTACATGTGTCTGTGTGTATGTACATGTATGTGTGTGTACATGTGTCTGTGTGTTTGTGTATGTACATGTGTGTGTATGTACGTACATGTGTCTGTGTGTATGTACATGTGTCTGTGCATGTGTATTTCTGTGTATGTACATGTATCTGTGTGTATGCGTGTCTGTACGTGCCTGTGTGTGTATACATGTGTCTGTATGCGTGTGTGTACATGTTTCTGTGTGTGTATGTATGTGTGTGTATGTACATGTCTGTGTACAGGTGTCTCTGTTTGTGTGTGTTTTGTTGGTGGTGAGTAACTCTTAAGGCTTGGCTAGTAGCTCAGGACTTGAAATTTTAAGCCCTGGCTTAGTGAATTAGGTGAAATTCCGCTGACTTACATCATCCAGTCAAGTGCAAGCAAAAATATTATCTTTAAAAGAAAACATTTCTTGCTTATGATTGGGTGTTCTTTGCAAAGTCAATTTTACCACATTCATTAAGCTAAGGGAAAATTATTTAGCAAAGTAAAACATAATTTTGTAAAATGAACATTCTCTACTTCTTCAATCAACCCCATAATGTTTGGGGTGAAATGTTGCTCAGGCAAAAACTTTAGTGAAAACAAATTGGTTGAATTTACTTTGACTCTGTGTTTGGCAGCTAAATTAGATCATTTCTAATGAACATATTTGCACACAGCAATTTCTGTACTGGTGGACAGAAAGCTTCTGAAAAGGACTGCTGTGTGCAAATATGTTATTTAGAGATAAACAATCAAATTCTCATAAGTTTCAAACAAACACAAATGTATACTGTTCAGTACATGCTGGGCAACCTACCGGCAAACTTTATATATTCTGAGCCTACTGCTGTTCTTACCTTTTGCAATGATGGAGACTTGCAATGGGCTTTGTTTAATTTGGCTTACTTTTCTCAGTTTTATGGCATAACATCAAAGACGGCATGATCCATTTTACTTTGTGTTTCTCAATATTCTCATGCTGATGCAGACTGGCAGTTAATAGAGGAAGTGCAAATCAAAGTTATAGGGCTGCACTTTAATGCAATAGAGTGGTGGCTTGGCTCCTATGGCAACTAGCATTTCACATCCTGAACACCTTTCCTTCTATGGAAAATGTTTCCTATGAAACTGCTTGAAGCATTCCTAAATCAGAAACCTGAAAAGGATATCTAAATTTTAATTTATCCTTGTGACCAATGTCCTCACCACCACAGAACAGACAATAGCAAAAGATTGACTGTCTGAACATTTATCTGTGTCTGAGATCAAATCCAAAATCTATTGGGTTATTGTCAATGAGAAACTGACAGCTAGACTCCAAGACAACATGCCTAAATTTCAAAGAGTTCGGGAACCATTGGTTTCCCAATATTTTTCACTAAACTTTGACTGTCAACTCTTTTAATGATTTCCACTCTCACACCCAATGACATTGAAACACAGTGGTCCCCTGCTAGTTGACTCCTTCCCCTCTTCCCCACTAACTTTATTTTTTCAAAACTTCTCAGTTATCTCTTTTCTCATATCTTCGCTCTACTAACTTCTTGACAGACCCCTTCAATTCTGCTTTCACTCTTGTTGACAATCCTACTGTGATTCAAAATAGTTGTTCATACCTTTTGAAAAATATTGTGGTATTGCCAGCACTAGCATTTTTAAAAATGCTTTAATGTCCTCAGAAAGTGCTCTTCATGTGATCTGAGAATTTTCTGTATTGCACTAAATTTATTAACTTTTACTTTTTACAAATGAAAAAGATTTAAGCTGTGTTGTTACTTTTAATTGAACCAATGATACCTTTTATTTTCTAATTTGTATTACAGAAATTAGAATTTAAACCTCATAGACTTAAACCACTTTCCAGTCCAGTCCTACATGTCCATAATTTATCAGACAACACCTTTTTCTCAGTGTAAGTGACCCAATACAATGCTTTGTTGTTTTTATTCCTCCAGTGCCAAGTAGCTGTTGTTGATGAGAAATATAATAAAAAGTATGCTATCCCAGTTTCTTATTCTACATTTTTAATAAGATATAACCTTCAGCCACATATCTATGAATTCAATGCCATGCTTCAAGTTAAGAGTATTTTGAGTTTATTTCACTATATTTTTTCAATTAGTCTCTTATCTTGATGTTGTGCTTCAACAGAGTGCAATAAAAGATCACAGAACAACTAGAATGAATGGCTTACAACTTACAAGCACATAATATGTCAAGCAGATATTAATTTGGGCCAAAGATCACATAAGGGGTTCTTGTTTTCGACATTTGTTCAGATGCCCTCTCTTTCTTATAAAAACTTTGGGCGTTACAAAGAGGCTGAGCACATCAATGGACAGTCCTACTATCATGCAGGGTGAGAATATTGTTTCATGAGCTATCCTACAGCTTTTAGCTTCTCAACTGTAGAAAGAAAAAGAGAGAGGCGCCTTCTAAGTGCAGTATTACCGAGTTTAATAAGCCTCTAGTATTTATAAAAACTCACAATAGTGAAGTGATAAAAAAGCCCATCAGTAAAGGATGATTTCTAGGTATGCCTCCATCATCCACATCCTGCAGAAATCATTCCGACCATCATGGGGCCACCGTGGATGGTAGAAAGGTCCCAGAACGCTGTGGATGGTAGAGAGGTCCCAGGACACCAACGCGTGTGTGAACCACAAGCCGGGCGGATGTGAATTCACCAAGGGGAGAGGTCGGCAATCAAGGAGGAGGAAGGCAAGGCTACGTGCTCGGAGCTAGCTGCTCCTTTTACAGGCCTCGAGCAGGCCTTGTTAAAGTTTATACACTTACTTGCTTATCTCATTTTTTTTTTTTCAAACCTTTATGAAATCCTTGTGTTTCAAATAAGGATTTAATACATGGTCCATCTGTGAGCGTTTTAAAGATACTTTTTACAAATTATGCTGGTCTTTATTATAAGAAAGCCAAGACTGCATCATTGCATGTTAAAGACTTCTGTATATTGAAAATCTGTATATTGAAAATCTGGTTCATATGAGCTAGAAAGAGAGGGGGGTCATCTGACTATTACAGTTTTTTGTGTGATGTTGTGCCATAACAAACTGCAACAACAACAACAACAAATGGAAAGATTGTAGCTTATCAGTCCCTAGATGTGGTGACTGTGGTAACTTTTTTTTTATATTTTAGGCTAAGCAAATTTTAGCAGGTACAGAAAGTGCTTGTTGATTTTGCTAGAAATGCAGTGTCCTTGTGCCTTCCTGTCAGAAGAGTTGGGAGTGAAAACAATGTTACCTTTCTTTTCTAAACCAATCCCATCACCCGCTATGTAATACAAATGAATGAAGGAAAACATCCCATCACCCCTTAAATAATAGAGATGAACAAAGGAACACCCCAACTCCCCACTATGTAATAGGGATGAACAAAAGGAAAACATATTTGAAGTCCAGCCTATGTGACTACATGACTTTTGTCATAGATACAACGGAGAAGTGGGCATTACCACTCAGGGACAGGATATGTGTTATTTGTAGGATTACAAGCTGAAAAAAAGTCTAAAAACTCTGATGGGTCCACCACATCTAAGGTTTGGTAAGCTGAAATATGTTTACTTGTGGGTTTATTCACTTTATTAGATCTGAATTGCAGAAGATCAATTTCAAAGGTTATTCACATCATAGCAGTACAGTCAGCTGGTAGATGAATGATACATGATAGATTACTGCATTTAAGGTGACCCTGTCAGGTGGCAAAAATAATAAAAATCATAAGTCCCTGCAATAAAAGACTGTTTTAGTCTCTCTGGCCACCCATATCTTCTACAATCCCTCATACAATTGTGTCTAATGCCTGTGTCCCTTGCTGGAAACTATGGTTCAGTCCTCCAGCTCATATATCTTTGCTGTGTCCTGTAGTAATGTAGGAGTCAAAGGAAGGAGCGACAGTAAGCATTGGGGAACACAAGCCTCTGACACTCCCAGAAATGTTGAATACTAAATCCACACCAGTAAAATCAGTCTGTATATGCAGTAAAGCATATGCTTGTTATACTCCCTGTGAAGGCTAAGGGGTTAATCCTTCACATTGTGTAAAAACACTGTGTGATCCTGTCTTTTCTGATCCTCACCTTCTTCCAATATCCCCCTCTTATCTCCTGATAAGACATATCATGTGGAGTCACTCTGTACATGCTCAGTTTTGTGTGTACTGCTGGAGAGGTTTTCTTTTTCCTTGCCAAAGTGCATGTGATCAGCACAGTGGCCAATCAGCACTGTCCAGAGAGAGATCAGGGGTCCTGCATCCTCCTGGAGCAGAATGAAAACTTAGCCTACAAGTTTTTAAACCCGTGATCTGCTGGATACTGATAGACGTCACAAGACTGCTCTAACTACTGATGAGAAAATGTATTTAGCAGTTTATCTTTACTAAAATATTTGAACTTCCATTTTGTATGTACTGTGGGAGACCAGATATAGTGAATGCAGAGTCCTGGGTTTAGTTACACTTTAAGAATATTATGGAGGCTGCAATGCTGGAACACTGGGATGGCAGAAGATATGGGGTACTTGCGAAATATGTTTCAAACTACTTCTATTGTAGGGCCCTTTCGTGTGGACGTTTTTGTAACTTGAAAGGGATACTTTAAAAATTTGTACTCAAGCATAAGTATTCTTTATTAAATAAAGTTGTATATGGTTTCACGCAAGAGGGCGAAATATACAATATTATTTTGTCATCCCATCTAAAAAGGACAGCAATACAATTTTTAACTGCAACATTTGGTAAAATACACCATAAAGCAAAAGGAAAATAAAGTGTACATTCTAAAGTCAGAATCAGCTCGTTTGTGTTGTTATTTATTTCCTTTCTCCATACATTTGGCTGACAATATAGCATTCACAAATTTTCTTCATTGAATATATGATTTCATCCTGCTTCATTCAAGCAGTAGAGTGATCTTCGCAGTATGAGAAATAATTGAAGGATGATTAAATCGATAGTCCGTGCGTAGGAGTAATTTCATTTTTTTTTGTTATCACTCCATTAAAGCAGATTATATTGGAGCCATTATCCAAGTGTTTTACATGAGTGGTGAGAGAAATGATGTGCCATGTGCTTTTTCTTTCTTTAGGAAATAGTATTTTCTTTTTAGTGTTGTTTTCACATTTTTATGAATCATCATTTGTAACATTTTAATTGCTCTCTTAAAGAAGAATCTCTGCCATAGTATATTTATTACTGTACAGCACACACTATATAGTAAACTGAGATTT